TGTTAAAGGAAGAAAGGGAGGAGCAATAATATCTTCCTGATAAGAATTACACAAACAAGCACTTCATTTCTACAGACTTTATTTCATTTCCACAACTGTATTTCATGTTTACTGTTATGGTTTGCTTTGATATGGATTTGGACTTTTACCTGCAATATGCCCTTTGAATGTAGATATTCTCTCTGAATGCTGTAAAGTTGTGACTTCATTATTGTTAATGTGCTTTCATTTACACACACACACAATCCACTTTCAATCCACTTTCCAACTGGATTTCTACTGTGTGAACTGGCAAAATTCAGTTTGAAAGTGCATTGAAAGTGGATTGAAAGTGGATGAATTAGTGTGTGTAAGATCACAGCCAAAACCGATTTAATTAGTCAATTTATGCCAAACATTAAGTACAATCATAATTTTAACTAATTTATTCATAGCAACATTTTTGAATTCGGGTTATTACACCCTGACATGTTATTTGGTTCCGTATGTTATAGGAGTATAAGGAAAGTTTCCTGATCACATGGCTTGAATTTCCTAGCCCTTCGGTTACTTTGGGCTATATACTTGACTATGTTCTGTAAGACCTATTTTTAATGTATATAGGCAGTTGGTGTACTCACTGTTCGAACTGTGAATGCTGTGAACAATGTCATACTGCAGCAGACTATGCATATGTACAAAAGCCATAACGATAGACCTGATCCCCACTTTACAGATGAAGTATAAAGTTTTATCTCTAAACTGTAGGGGACTGAATAATAAAATCAAGAGCAAGAGGGTCTCTGCGCTCCTGAACAAGCAGAGACCAGACAGCTTGCTCCCACAGGAGATGCATTTAAAGCAAGCATCTAAGCAGGTTTTTAAATCCTCGTGGTAGGCTCAACAATTCCTAGCAGTGGGCTCCTCAAAATCATGTGGGGTGGCAAATCCTCTTTTCTAAAAACATCCACTTCTTTAATGAAGCAATAGAAATTGACCCATTAGGAAGATACATCTTTATTAAAGGGACTTTGGAAATTAAGAGAATCAAATTGGCTCCAATATACGCCCCCAATACTAATCAAATCTGTGTCACAGAAAAGACCTTAACGAAGCTCGACAGCTTCCAGGAGGGTGAGATATTGGTAGGAGGAGGTCCTAGGTCCTTTCCGCATTTGCCTGCCCTGTGGGACCTTTTATGGTTTCGCAGGGCCTGCAAAATAGAGCTCTTCCACCAGGCCTTCGATTAGGAGCCGTCACTAACGGATGAGCCATTGGAACATACTATGGCCCTTAGTGTTACACCGTGGGATGCCACTTTTTTCTTGGATCATGTTTAGAAACTGCCGCCATCTGTATTGTCTAACTTGCACTTTATGTTATTATGGGAGTTTTACTGTATTTATTGTCTTATTGCATTTTATCTCGTGTAAGCTGCCTTGAGCCAGTTCGCCCGGAAATGGAAAGGAATAAATAAATAATAAATAAATCCATTTTCTCAGGGGTCTGGAGATGAGCTGGAATTCTGGGGGATCCCCAGACCCCACCTGGAGGCTGGCATCCCTGATTAACAATTCAGTAGCACCACACTAGATGAGAAAGAAAAATGTTACAGCTGATTATAGATATACAACGTTTGCCACATTTCCAGGTCAGGGTTGAAAAAAGCTCATCTGTGCAGTTTTTCACCCAAGTGCCAACAGGTGTAAATGTACATCTTTCTCCTATAAAACAGAGTCTTTTGACTGGAAAAGGATTTCCCACCTTGAGAAATCCCTGTGGAAGAGCCACATTCTAATTTGGACCACAGCTCCACCCACGTGAGGACGTTCTTCAAACAACCAGTAGAGGAAGTTCATCACATTCAATAACCCTGCTGGAACACTATTTAAGCAGCGCCAGAGTCAAAATGTTATACTTTCGTGCTCTCCCTGCAGGCAAAATCAACCAACCTGGCATAAACCTTCCAAGAGGTAAAACAGTTTCCTTCTCGTTTGAGCCTGATCAAAAAATGAGAAGCGATTTTTGTTTGTTTGTTTAATGAAGTAAGATTTTTAGGAAGCGGGCGGTTGGGGGAGGAAAAAGGGAATGGGTTTAGCAGGACCCACAATGGGCTATTATTAAGATAGAGTCTGTCAACAGGGTATTGTTTTCTTCTGATAAATCTGGCAAACTGCTAAGAGCCCTGGCCAAGATCGGAACTTCAGAGGGGTTAGCTGTGTAATTCTGTTGTAGCAAAAGAAAACAGCAATCAGGGAACGGGCCGTGGCTCAGTGGAAGAGCATCTGCTCGGCCTGCAAAAGGTTCCAGGTTCAATCCCCGGCATCTCCAGTTAAATAAGACCAGGCAGCCGGTGATGTGAAAGATTTCCCCCTGAGACCCTGGACAGCGGCTGCCACTTTGAGTAGACAATACTGACTTTGGTGTATCAAGGTTCTGACTCAGTGTAAAGCAGCTTCACATGTGTTCAAATCCTGTGACAGCTACAGACATAAATAGCTTCAAGAGGGGGTTGGATAAACACATGGAACAGACTTGAAATACTGGCTATTAGCCACAAGGTCATGGAACAATCTGTCTGGGGCAGTGATACTCTGCATTCTTGGTGCTTGGGGGTCAACAGTGGGAGGGCTTCTTGAGTTCTGGCCCTGCTGGTGGATCTCCTGATGGCGCCTGGTATTTTTGGCCACTGTGTGACACAGAGTGTTGGACTGGATCGGCCATTGGCCTGATCCAACATGGCTTCTCTTATGTTCTTCTGCGCCACCGGAAAAAAGAAAACTAACAAGATTTATTCCAGGTGGGTAGCTGTGTTGGTCTGAAGCAGCAGAACAAAGTCTGACTCCAATGGCATCTTTAAGACCAACAAAGTTTTTTTCAAAGGATAAGCTTGCATGCAAAAGCTTATACCTCGAATAAAACTTTGTTGGTCTTAAAGGTGCCACTGTACTCAAACTTTGTTCCAAGATCTATTCCAGCTTCCGGAAGTTCATACTGGAATAAATGTTAGTCTTGAAGGTGCCACCAGACCTCTGTTTTGTTTCGGGTCAGAACACCCTATATAATAAACTGCTTTGATTGCACTGGCTCTGTGACATTTTGCATAATGTATTACTTTGCTAAGAAAATTCCCTATCACTACTAATCTGTCCAGGGAGGGTTCTGTCAGAGCTGTTCTCTCATGAGAAAAAGAGCCATTTCTGTCAAGAGCTCTCTCAGCCCCACCAACTTCACAGGGTGTCTGTTGTGAGGAGGGGAAGGGAAAGGCGCTTGTAAGCCACTCTGAGACTCCGAGTGAAGGGCGGCGTATAAATCCAATCTCTTCTCTTCTTCTTCTACCTCACCGGGTTGTTGTGAGGATAAAATGGAGGAGAGGGGAACGAAGCCACTTTGGGCCCCCATGGGGAGGAGAAAGGTGGGGTATAAATGAATTAAATAAATACAATAGATATATATTTTAAAATGCTATGAAGGAACACAGCATGGTTGAATGAGGCACCCCCCACACACACACCTCATCAGGTCCTGGCATGGTTGCCTCCCCCCTCCCAGGCTATTTCAGCACTTGAAAAGTGACGCACAACGACAGTACGAGAGCGCCTCAGCCCACCATGTTGTGGGGCCCTCGCGGCATTTTTAAATGGCGGCCCTGTCCTTGTGGCTGCCATGAGGAAGCCGTTGCATCTAGTTTGGAAAGTTAAATGTAAAGGTTTCCCTTGCTCGAAAGCCAGTCGAGTCCGACTCTAGGGTTGCGGTGCTCATCTCCATTTCAAAGCTGAAGAGCCAGCGCTGTCCGAAGACATTTCCATGGTCATGTGGTCGGCATGACTAAACACCAAGGCACACAGAACGCTGTTCCCTTCCCACCGAAGTGGTACCTATTTATCTACTTGCAATTTCTTGCTTTCGAACGGCTAGGTTGGCAGGAGCTGGAACTAGAGACGGGAGCTCACTCTGTCATGTGGCGCACTCGGGTCTCGAACTGCTGAACTACTGACCTTCCACAGCCTGCAGTTCAGCGTCTTAACCACTTGAGCCACCGCAGCTCCTAGTTTGGAAAAGAGAAGGACAAAAATAACCTCACTCAGGACAACTGTCTGCCCCAAAATACATGCCCTCCCGGTTCTGTAAGTCATATTTTGTTGAATTTGTGGTTTCTCACCCCTCTCTCTAAACTCTCTAAATTTTCCCCAGTCGGTGTCCACAATGCTACTGGGTCTCCTCCTCATCTGCGTGGGCTGGCACACCACGCCGGGGGGCGCAGAGGTGGTGACCTCTTTCGAAGCAACCTGCCCCCGGGTTTTCTTCAGGAATACCCCTCCGAGAATCGGACTCACACCCGCACGCCTGGTTCGAATCTGCCAGCGTTACGAAAACCAGTACCGTTACGCCACGATGTACGACAAGCCAAACCGCATCCCCCTCTACTCGGCCTACATCTACACACCCGGGAATGCAAAGAGACCCCAGAACTGGATGGTGGAACCCCAGGTAAGACCGGGGGGAGGGGTTTGAAGCCTTGGCACACCTCTAGCCTTTCCCCGCCCTGAGCTAAGGTTGCCAACCTCCAGGTGACGCCTGGAGATCTCCCGCTATTACAATTGATCTCCAGACGATCACAATCAGTCCCCCCTGGAGAAAATGGCTGCTTTGGAAGGTGGACTCTATGCAGGGGTCGTTTCGTAGAAAAAGAGCTAGGGGAACTCATTAGCATAACTTACCCTCCCTCTTCTCCTGCCTCCTCCTGGCTGAATGAGGGCCGGAAGTGGGGCGGCTGGAAGCAGGTGGCGGGGCTTTGTCATGTGCCCCACCCCTCCACACCTCACCCGGGGGAACTGCGATCCCCCGCGATCCCCCCCGAAATGACCTCTGACTCTATGGCATTGTACCCCACTGAAGTCCCTCCCTAACCCCTGTCTTCCCCAAACTCCACCCCCCCAGGCTCCACCTCCAAAACTCCCAAGAATTTCCCAACTCGGAGTTAACAACCTACAAGGTCCCTTCCAGCTCTAACATTCTATGATTCTATGAACCCTAGTTTCTGTCATGCAAGCTATTTCGATTAAGGTTGGGTCTTTGGGAACAACATCTCTGCTGTTAAAACGTCCAGTTCAACACTATTGTTACTGAAGGGTTCACAGTGGAGCCCTAAACAGAATCAGTCTTCTCAGCCCACTGACTTCAGTGGACTTAGAAGGACATAACTCTGTTTAGGATCGCCCTGCCAGTGTAGTACAGTGGTCTGAGTTTGAGACAAATACTTGAGACCCCAAGGTTCAACAAATTCCCCCTCAGCCAGGAAGGAGACTGAATGGATTTAGGCCGGTCATACCCTCTCTCTGGGTAGCCTGCCTTATGGGTTGTTGTGAATACAAACAGAAGGAGCCGTGTATGCAACAAATATTTTCTTTCTTTACTTATCTATTTACCTAATTTATACCTCACCTTTATCCCCAGTGGGGACCCAAAGTGGCTTACGTCACCCTCCCCTCCTCTGTTTTCTCATCACAACAACCCTGTGCGGTAAGTTAGACTGAGAGTGTGTGACTGGCCCAAGGTCACCCAGCGAGCTTCCATGGCAGATAAAATGTATACCATTGAAGGCACAGTGCCTGTGAAGGAGCTTCTCTGTTCTTGGCCACTCTTTGGGCTTTTCCACATTCTTACTGTCCATGCTTCTGAGTTCCTGTTGTTTCAGGGGAGTGTGTGTGTGTTTCTGTTCTGCATGTGTTTTGCTCCCTCTAGTGGTTGATTCAATATTACATTGGTTTATGTCCAGCATATCTCCCTGCAGATTTAAATTGCAGTTATTTATGCTAGACGTAATGCGATGTAATATTGGATCTACCACTAGGGGGAGCAAAACACGTGCAGAACAGGGGGAAAAAAACCCCCTGAAGTCCCAGGAACTCACATGCAAGGAAAATTAGAACACGGTCATTTTAACTCTGGCTTTCTGTGGCTCTCCTGTCTTTCAAAGCTTGTTCGTTCATCGTTGCAACCTGAAATGACTTCGGAAAAGGACCTCCTGAAAAAACGAGTCACACTGGCAGAGCTTAGGGAAAGTCAGGCCGTCCTGCAAGATTACAAGAACCTGATTGATTACAACCGGGGCCACCTCAACCCCAACAGCCACCAGCCCGACCTGGACGCCAAGAAGTCCACCTTCACCTTGACCAACACCGTGCCTCAATATACCAAGCTCAACTGTGGCTCCTGGGAGAATTATGAGGACAAGACGATGAAGGTCAAGACCCAAGGGTGCAAGGAAACCTTTGCCGTCGTGGGCGCAGTGCCAGGGAACAACTACATAGCCGGCGGGAGGGTGAACAAGCCCAGCCACCTCTGGTCTGCAGCCTGCTGTTACATAAACAACAACCGCATAAGGTCCTGGGCCATGATCGCCACAAACGATAAGGACGCGGTGGAAGAGCTCACTCTGGGGCAGTTGGAGGGGAAACTGGCTGGGCTGTATCAGCAGAACAGCATCTCTCTGTTCCACAGCGACTGTCCCCGGCAGTAAGACATTGGCTGCATCCGTCAAGTGGTCATGGGCTCCATATAGGGAAAATAATTAGCATGAGAAAAGTATATGATTATGGAGAATGGTATAACATTTAGTTAATAGCTAAATACATTTTATAGAAGATTTTTGTAGAAAAAACGGGTCTTGTTAATCAATGGCGATGCAAATGCTATAGGTCTTGGTGATTGTGTAACTTTAAGGTAGATCTAAAGTTAGACTTATAGGAATAAGATAGTTAAAAATATCGACGGCAAAATACAGATTTGCAAAACGTTAGGTGATCACACGGTGGGGAAAACAGCACTTAGAGATGCGGTGATTTAAGAGATACGATGTTGTTGTTATTACTCTTGTATATGTTTGTATGCCTGTCTGTCTGTTTAAAATACTAAAAATCATTATAATAAAAAGGGGTCGCCAACCTCCAGGTGGAACCTGGAGATCACCCGCTATTACAGCTCATCTCCAAACAATTCAGATCAGTTCCCCTGGAGAAAATGGCTGCTATGACGGGTGGGCTCTACGGAGTTATACCCAGCTGAGTTCCCTCCTCTCCCCGTACCCTGCCCTCCGCAGGCGCCACTCAAACAGCCTCCAGGTATCCCCCAACCCAGAGCTGGCAACCCCAGCTCCGCCCCAGAGCGTACCTTAAAGTGATTCGGCAACCTCCTCTTTCCACCCTGTTTGCTTCGAACATCTCAAACTGAAGTCAGAAATCCAAATCTAGGAACAGGGCATGTCAATGTCCCTGCTCTGGATCGAGGGTTACCAGCTCTGAGTTGGGGAAATTCCTGGAGATTTTGGAGGTGGAGCCCCGGGGAGGGCAGGGATTGGGGAGGGGAGGGACCTCAGATGGATACAACACCACAGACACCATCTTCCAAAGCAGCCATTTTCTCCAGGGGAACTGATCTCTGCGGTCCGGAAATCAGTTGTAGCTTCAGATCTCCAGGCCCCACCTGGAGGCTTAGCAACAAACACACAGGAAACATGGCACGGTTGAGTAAAACCCGAGAAATACCGTGTAACAAAAACAAAGTACACAATTCTAATATACTACTATAACTTCATTAAGTAAATCATGTACTTATCATATACAATAACGCCCTTAGTGCAACCTGATTATTATAATTAACAGCAATAGTATAAAGTATACAAATAAACACAGCAATATTCAATCTTGAAGAAATGTCCAAAGTTACAAAGACGAATATGCAGACAAGGTTCAATGTCTTGCTTTTAAAAAGAGATGTAGCAAACATCTTGCTGGCTGTCTTGCTTTCAAAAAGGATGCAGCAACATGCCGCCCAGGCAAAAATTGTGTGTTTTGAGACATTCTTCTTCGGGCAAATTATTTCTCCTGGAACCAAGGCTCACAAATGCTACAATGCACAAGTCAGGAAATTCTCTCTAGGTGGCTTCTCCAGTTCTCTCTCTTCTCTCCGGAGTTTTCTAACAGTGTAATCCTAAACAGATTTAGGGCTCTTTTTGTAGCAGGAACTCCTTTGCATATTAGGTGACACACCCCTGATGTAGCCAATCCCCCGAGAGCTTACAGTAGCCCCTGTAAGAAGAGCCTTGTAAGCTCTTGGAGGATTGGCTACATTAGGGGTGCGTCGCCTAATATGCAAAGAAGTTCCTGCTACAAAAAGAGCTGCCCCGGCGGGACCTTTCTAACTCCACTGAAGTCAATTTGAAGGCTGATTTGGATTGCACTACCATTGTTGTCTTTTCCAAATGGTTCGTGTAAAAGAGACTTTAAGAGAAAGTTTTATCTAGTTTGGAATGACAATACATAGACCTCTTGTGACTGTGCAATTCTCTGTTCTCACTTTCATGCATGCCAGTCTTTACAACGGGGATCTTCCTGTTTCTCCGCTGTAACCTCTGAGCCTTATCACCTCAGCTGTGTTCTTAGAATCATAGAATCATAGAGTTGGAAGGGACCTCCAGGGATACAGCCCAAAATGACATTTGCCTTTTTAGCAACCACATCACACTGCTGACTCATGTTCAGGGTATGGTCTACTAAGACCCCTAAATCCTTTTCACATATACTGTCCCCACTGAAATTAATTTTGTTTTAGCCAGTTTTTCAGCCTGTCAGGATCATTCTGTATCCTGACTCTGTTTTCTACTGTATTTGCTACCCCTCCCAATTTAGTATCATCTGCCAATTTGATAAGCATTTGGGGGGTCCCAAGTTTCAGACCCCCCCCCAACTCAGCATGGAGTTGGCGTTTTGCTGGTCAGTCAGCTGGTCCGGAGTGAGCAGAACCTCCTTATTTTTTTCTGTTTCGTTCAAGACCCTTTGGATTTTATCCCCCAGGCTCCCCAAAAAAGCAAGTGGAAACACATGGTACCTGTCAGACTCGGGCATTAAGCTTTCTATACCTGTTGTATTTGCTGCCTGGATTTTTCCTTTCAACTGTTATTCACATCTGTTCCTTAACCCTGTTCCCCTTATCAACTGCCCTCACTGCCATCGCATTCCTGGGGGGGGAGAGTGTAAGTGAATGTCTGTAGAATTAGGGAGGCACCGGCTTTAGTAATTCTTCTCAAAGCAGTACCTCAGGGAACTTTCACATGAGAATGATGAGAGTGTCCTTGAAGAGATAAGACTTTCGAATGGCTAGTTGGACCAATATATCTGTCATGGTTTGTTAGTATTGCTGGCTTGTGTGACAGTGTATGAATGGAATGTGGGTTTTGCTTATACACCGAGTTCCCGCTTTGCACCCCAGTCCTGACAAAGAAGTGCAACTCCTCAGCATCTCAAATATCCTAATAAAACTTTTTCTCAAGAAGGCCTGTATAGAGAGTGATTTGACTGGGAGCCTGACATACCCCTTGTGCGTGTATTAAGTGCTGTCAAGTTGCTTCTGACTTAACGGTGAACCTAGGAATTAATGTCCTCCTATCATTAACAGCCTTGAACAGGTCTTACAAACGGAGGCCCATGGCTTCCTTGACTGTGGCCCAATCTGCATTTGCTATGTAAAGCTGTTCCGTGCTGCTGTGGCGCCGGCTTCCCATTTGGCTCAGTATAAAGCTCTCCTCTGTCTGCATCAGGATGCAAGTTGTTTAGGGAGAGCACATGAGAGAGGGGGTGGGCATGCTTTCAACCCCTCCGCCCAAATATGATTGCAGAAAAATGTTCCCTGGCTGCTTTTAAATGCAGGCCACTGTATGTTTAGCTGTTTCCTTTGTGACAATTTGTGGCTGAGGACAGATTGGCAGTATGAAGCGCAAGGGAGGCGGGGCAAAAAGACCCGGACCAAGTTGTGCCGGGGATTCCCGGTCGCACTGCCCCTACTGATGTGGGAGCATACCGGGGAGGAGGCACAAGGAAATGTTCGCACTGTTGGCCCACCCCTGGTGGAGGTGCAGCTGTAAGTGGCTTTTTCCCACTCTGGCGACATGTGCCTATGCACATAGGTGCAGCACCGTGGCAATGTGGCTTGTTTGCAGCTTTTAGTATGCACACTTCCGGGAAGCGGGATCAACGCAAACCAGTTTGGTGTTGTAGTTAAGTGTGCGGACTCTAATCTGGGAGAACTGGGTTTGATTCCCCACTCCTCCACTTGCACCTGGCTGGATGACCTTGGGCAAGCCGTAGCTCTGATAAGAGCTGTTCTTGAAAAAGGGCAGTTCCTGTCAGAGCTCTCTCAGCCCCACCTACCTCACAGGGTGTCTGTTGTGGGGAGGGGAAGGGAAAGGAGTTTGTCAGCCGCTCTGAGACTCCTTTGGGTAGGGAAGGGTGGGGTATAAATCCAATCTCCTCCTCCTCCTTCTTCTCCTTCTTCTCCTTCTTGGGTCAGTCACAGTTCTCTCAGAGCTGTTCTCTCAAGGGCAGTTCTCTCAGAGCTCTCTCAGCCCCACCTCCCTCACCGGGTGTCTGTTGTGGGGAGGGGAAGGAGTTTGTAAGCCGCTCTGAGACTCCTTTGGGTAGTGAAGGGCGGGGTATAAATCCAATCTCCTCCTCTTCTTCTTTTTCTTCTTACTTCTCTCCATTGAGAGAACTGTCCGTCGATTCCTACTCTTGTTTCCTGTCATTCCACCAGTTTTTAATCCGTAAGAGAGCTTTTCCTCTCATTGCAGCTTGTCAGCTTTCCACTTCCCCTTTGTATCTTTCACAGACAGTCTCCACCCACAAAATGTCAGGATTTTTTGCCACCTCCTAGGAGAACATCAGCTCCAGACCGAGAGAACATGTCCACGTGCAAAAGGTCATGAGGACAAGAGACACCAAAACTCATGAGGGAGCCACGTCTAGGAGGCCCAGTGGCTTGTCTTGCCCCAGAACTTTACCAACTCCACTTTCAGGATTTTGTTTCCCTTCTATTTAGAAAGCACCCTTTCCAGTTCATAATACAGAAATCTGTACAGTTTGTTCTTCTTTGTAATGCAGAAGAAAACTGCAGTACAGTAAGTCATTCCCTCTGCCCAGAGAGCTTAGGGACTTGCAGTTCTGTAAAAGGGGGCTTCGGAATATTTGAACCGAGAATTCTCAGCGCTCTCACCCAACAATACAGGAAGCCACAGCAGTAAAAATATAAGGACATAAGAAAAGCTCCACTGGATCAGACCAAGGGCTCATCTAGTCCAGCGTCTTAAGAATGACAGACCAGTCGTCCACCTAGGCCAGAATCTGGGTTCCCACAGCCGCCAACTAGTTGCCCTGGAGGACCAGCAAATGGGGCACAGAGGCCAAGGTCTTCCCCTTGGTGTTATTTCCCAGCACTTGACTGGAGCTTGACTGCTGCTGAATAGGGAGGGTTGCTTTACTTGCTACGGCTAATAGCATGGAGGTTTGTAGTACACAGGGCTTTTTTTGGTAGAAAAAGCCCAGGAGGAACTCATTAGCATAATAGGCCACACCAAACAACAGAAACTCATTAGCATATTAAGCCACACCCCAACAGCATGGGAGACCAGCTGAGCTCTGAGCAGGAGCAGGAGAGAGAGCTGTGAGAGAGGTGAGTGGGTTTCTTTTA